GTTGTTGTTGTTGTCGTTGTTGTTTGGTAGCGGCAGTGGTCGTGGTCAGCTAGTGATGGCAGCAGCAGCGGCAGCAGCAGCAGCAGCAGCAGCAGCAGCAGCAGCAGCAGTCATACACCAAAACGAACGGCCGGGGAGTTTCTTGCGACCCCATTGACTTGCTTCGGGGTTGCTTCGGGCATCGGTGGAAAAATCAGTTCATTAATCCGACCCCGCTCGCTTCAGTTTTTTGAGCCAGAGTAGCAACATTCGGCCTGCTCCACAGGATGAGGAGCTGGTGAAAGCCAAGGCCATCGATGTGCCAGGCATCGAGGACAGCTCTCCTTCCGTTTTGGAGTCGACACCGAAACCCTGCTCTGTGCAAAATAGCCAGTTGGTTCGCACATGAGGCCCGCACCGCAGCGGGGCTTTGTGGCTTCGTATCTGCACGGTCCGCGGAGCGAAGTCGAATAGGGAGTGATGCTTTAAACCTGCGTACAGGCCCTGTGAAAAGAGCTTGTGAACTCACAGAGACATGTTTGGTCTTGGCTAGAAAAGGCTAGGAATCCTCCAGACAGGATTGAGTCATGTCGAAGTTGAGCTGGACAGGAGCACATGATTTATGCCACCAGCTTCAAAGCCAGGGGGCCCCACGGCGAGGCTGGCCCGAACATGCTTCAATAAGCTGTTCACATCATCCAGCATCTGTGCTTTAGGAGCAAACCTCAACATTGCCCACAGACGGCATCTGACACAGGTATTCTGTCAGGGTGCGTGGTGTTCCAAGCTCGAAGTTACAACTAAGTTTGGGGAGTCCGAGAACCACGGCGATTGTCCTCATAATCGGCATTATCGCATCGCTAGAAGTTACCAGCAGCCTGACACTGCCCTGCTCGCTCATAACTCTGACAGGACAGCTTTGTTACCCAATCCTTGCCGTGCTTCCCGACTCCCGTGTCTCATGTCAAGATCAATCCCCGGTGTATCCAAATTGAAATCACCGCCGAGTGTCTTTTGGGCGAGTCTGAAGGTAACGACGACGACCCTGGTTCTTTCAAACGCCGCTGTGAAGCATCACAGTTTGCTGTTGTCTTGCGAGGCTTCGCCCGGGTCCTGAAGTCCTGAAGCAATGACCGCGTGCAGAAATGTAGCTCGGGACAAGAGTTGATTACATCTTCAATGCCTCCGTTCGATGCGCGTTTGCCGCACGCCGTGCCTCGAAGAAACTAATGATCCCGTCACCGCTGCCTCCTGAAGGGAGCTGCAAGGAGGACGATCGCATGGCCAAAGAGCCTGCAGTGCGACCAAATGCTAGCGTGGTTCAATCGCTTTCTCGGGTTCAAACGGTGGTCACCCTGTCCTGCGAGTTTCAGGTTCAACCATCGTTTTGTTGCTTGGTGTCAGTGTCCGTTAGTCGGCACGACGTCTGATCTGATAGATCCGCATATTGAGCTGCAGGTAAAGGCACGACAAACCCGTGAACGGGTGAATGAGCTGCCGCCGCAGTTTCTCTCTCGAATTCAAGGCCCTTTGCCAGGCCGTTGCTTTATGCCGCATCCGGAACTACCATCAGCGGCCGTCGCGAAGCCGCCATATGCGAGAGCGAGCTTGGGACATTCATCAGGCCTTGGGAATCCTTCGGCCATGTTCGGCGATGTTCGGCCATGAACATGGGCTGTCGAGTTGCGTTGCATATAATTGGGCACGTGGCGGTGGGGGGGGGCCTTACGAGCAGAAGTTCGGGCTAAGTACAGGGCATCGGTTTACATTCTGCTTCATGGCTACAGGCGTGCCGCTTGCGACTTCCAAGGCATTGAGAAAGTGCAACTGGGCTTCAAACGGGTGGGTGTCCTGAGCAGTGCACAGTGATTAAAACTTGCCACCCCGGGCAACTGCAGCAACGTGATGGATGAATTGGACTGTCTGCCAGCATGTCTTGGTGGGTGCACCAGCAGCTTCAGACTTCGTAAGTAAAGAGCCTGCAAGAAACGGACCTGACTCCGTAAGGAGGAAGGAAACACCCACTCTGCCCGAGGTGATGACCATCTGGCTGCCCTGGCCAGTGAGCTGCGCAAACTTCACGACATGCTCGAGGCACCACGCACAGAGAACGAGGACGACAATGCCAGATTTCATGTGGTGCCCATCATCGGAAACTGACAGAACGGCCGCTTTTGCTAAGACGCGCCTCCGTCCAGGAGCTGGCGTCGTCCGGGAAGATGGAGCCCGTGTGCACTTGGGCTGCACTCAGACTAAGCGAGAATTGGGATCTGGAGGCTGGCTTGGATTTTCAGACGTTTGCAGCTTTAGAATTTGGCTTTGGGCCCTGAGGCTCGTACAGCTGGTTATTCTAAACCTCAATCAAAAGCCACGTTGTATGAAATTAGTTACTTGCCAGAGACTTGGCGTGCCATCACGAACTTTACTCGACTGGCAGATGCGCCGAGGCTCTGAGAGCGACACTGAGAGCGGCGAGGTGCAGGGAGACGGTTTCGAGGAGGTGCAGCCTCACCCAGTTCTGCACAAAAAGGCCAGGGCGCCGAATCGTGGTTTGGGCGGGCCGTGCAGAGCAGCCGGAAAGATCGCTTCCCGTGATACCAGATACATCCAGATCTCTTATCCAGTCGCACTTGCGCTGCGCATCTTTTCTCCGCTGTTGAACGTGCAGCAATTGCTCAATCGGTCTGTGGATGTTCAATTATCAGCCCGAGTGAGGCGCTGAAGAGCTCCCAGCAGGCAGAGGGGATCAGAGTTTTCAGTGCAAGGTCAGCTAGGAACTACATGCATGGACCCGATTACAACTCGTTCCGCAGGCCCGAGCAGAAATGTTGTTCTCTGTGAGTCTCCGCCTGTTGATCTCCTTCAGCCCCGCGAGATTCGCAGGTGCGGCGTGGTCCGGTCTTGCTCCGGCCGCTGCAGCCCTCAGCCTCCGTGCTGGATCCGAAGCGGATCAGCGGCCAATCGGGCCAGGACGGATTCTTCAAGATGCCAGCGCCACTTCATAGCTCTAGTCAGTCCTGCGACAAGTTGCGCCTCGTGCACTGCAACGACAGGGGCAGAGTGGTGCGAGCGGCTTTATCGCCAAGCTCCTTGAGTTTGGCCCGCCAATTGTGATTTTGATGAATCCTTAGCTGCAACTGGATGGTACGATGCGTACAGTCGTCTCGCTCTCACAGTTGGGCAGCAGTTTTTCGTGGCAGTGGATCATGTCTACAAGATAATCAGTTTTCGAGCTTGGACTCGCAATCCCGAGAGCGGAGCACGAGCAGGCACAAGGGCCCGTTCCTTGTGAACGTCCCTTGGCTGTGCCTAGGAATGCCATTACCATCGCCCTCGACAGCGATGTCATAGAGAATGATTCAATCCTTCGTCTCGTCGAATGCTGCTTCGCAATGTTTTATCTCCTGGACCGTGCGTCGATGCGTGTGTGTCTGCGCGCATGTGTGTGTGTGTGTGTCTCTTGCATTTGCTTTCTTCCATCTTTGTAGTCTTCCAGGAGTTCATGATCAAGCTCGGACTCCTTGGCTGCAGGGGCTACTTCTGGGCAGAAAACTGGACATGGAACTGGTTTGATTTCCTTTGCCTCCTGCGCCTCGGCAAGGGGAGAAGCGGGACGGTTTGACTTCGTCCTGCATTAGCACCAGACCCTGCTATCACGTGGCTGCAGGTGCGCGCTCTTGGAACTCAGTGCCGTGCTTGTTTCTGTCCTCGGCTTCACCTCCACACCTTTTCTCGAAGATGTGACAGTGGTGCGGGTGTTTCGCTTGGGGCAGTTGCTCGGTTGGTACACCCATTTGCAGCTGCCTGGTACTAGCCCAATCCACCATAGCCTAAATCCGCCCCCGCCGCGCATCCCAAATCGCATAAACCTTGGCAATCTACTTACCAAACAACTTGCCCTGCGGGAGGCAAACAAAACCAAAACCTGCTGCAGCAAGACGCTTATGGAAAATGTTGCCGAGTCACTGGGTCCACACGCATGAGACCCAAACCTGGTGTGCACGTGAGTCTACCACTAGATGCTAAGCCCGACACTCAGCTTACGCACGAGCCGTTTTTGGTGGCAAGCAGAGGCCCAAAATGGAACATTGTACTGGAAGCTCGAAGTCTTTACCTGTATTGGCGACAATTATTGGCGTCTTCAACCTTCTTGTGTGTACTGTATCCTTATCGAGCTGCTTTTGCAAGCATGCCCCTTGCCACAAGGTTGATGAGAACCGTCCGCGTGCTGAACTTCAAGATGTTTGGCGAACTCCGTCAGATTACATTAGGAATCATGAATGGGTGTGGTGTGCTCTTCTGGGCAGTCGTCCTCCTGTGGCTTGTCTGCAACCTGGAGCAGGACATACAGAGCGGTTTCCAAAAGCAGTTGATCTTGGGCCCTGATGTTGATGCCCATGCACCAAACAAGAATCAAGACACAAAGAAGCAAAGAGGAGCAAAGCATGTGAGTGTGCCAAAGCCTGGCAACAGCCTCTTTGCACCGGCCTTTCCCGGCTGTCCTGGCACTGCGGACGGACCAGGTTCGCAGTCATCTATGTATTCGGCATCCTCATGCGAAATATCGTCGGTGACGCGATGGAAGAGTTCAAGAACATCCCAAACTCCATGTCCGGGCCCAAGACGTGCTGTGCATCCAATCCCGAAAGAAGCATTTCCGCACCCGGCGCCAGCGACCCAAGGTTCACTTTGTTCCGTTGCTTCACGGACGGTTGTTCGGACTACGCCGGAACACCCTTGGCAGAGCGATTGCGGATCGTGTACGGAGCTCCTTTCACCCTGGGCTACGCAACTTGACTGCAGGTTATGAGAAGCACATTTCCTCGTCGGCGGACAGATGAGCAGAAGGAGAAAAACCTGTCAAGCGCTTTGAACCTTTATCCTAAACTGAGTCCGCGGCAAGGTCTGCGTCACCATGCTGGTCGCTGTGGGCATCTTCAACATGATCATGGCCATTTTCCTTGAGATCCTCGCTTAAGCTCTGGGAATGGGAATGCCGGAGGGCAGGCCTGCCAGAAGCTGTTGGTTCACTGACTTGGGGTCGTTATGCTGCGATTGTTATGAGGCAAGGTCTAAGCTTATACCAAGGTATACTGGAACAGCAAGCCAAGCTTCGAATCCGCGGGTTCTGACCTTGAAAGCTGCGGAGCTTCAGGGAGATCGTTGGAGCTGTGAGAGTTCGAGAACCGAAGCAACTCACAACTTGAGTGTAAGTTTGTAACACGAATCCTCCAGTTGAAATTTTCGGACTCTCAGGAATGCCACTGCATCAGCTGGTCGGCGCAAGCAGCGACCCTTGAACTGGAAGATACAGCCTTCCTGCGGATTCGGAATATGAATTTACTCTTAGGGAGGGGGGGTGGGGTGAACACCCGGAAACTTACCATAAAGCTGCACCCCACCCGCATCCTGTCCTAGTCCGGGTCCCGAAGCCGATCTTCCTACCAAGCCACCACTGCGACATGCCGTACTTTAAGCGCAGCTTTCGCAGCCTTGAACTTGGACCCTACCGGCCCTGCCGCATCGGCCCGCATCCAGTCTCTGCTCAAGGAGAGCTCGGCGAGCGTGCTAACAGCACAGAGCAAGCGCTGCGGCGCGTCATCGCCGCTTTGACTGTGTATGCATATGTTTGCGTTTCTGTTTGTCATTTCTTATGTTCAGCGGGATCTTCGATAGACTCTGTTCCTTTGCATCTCACAGCCCCCTTCTCTCACTCCAAGGTCCGTCCGAACCTCTCCGGTTTGCACGTTCTGTACGTCTTTCCTTCTTCCTGTAGTCACATCTTTGTCCTCTATCGTACTATGACCTTTGGGGGTTTCCGAAAATAGGGGACCCTAATATAGTACCCTAAATAGTAGGACCCTTACTATACGGGCCCGAAAAAAGGGTACCCTAACTTACAGAAAAAGCTTCAGCTGCGAGCTCTCGCAGTCAGGTTCAGATGATTGACCCGACAGCTCCGGAGCGCGCCGCAGGCCAGGCACCCACCCCGAGCCTTCAAATCAAGTTTGGGCCTCGAGGGCAGTGGCAGTGGAGAAGGCGATCAAGAGTTTGCGGCTCTTTCGGCGTTTAGGAAGCCTATAAGGCAGGGGTTCAGTCATATCCAATCAGAAGCAGGCCCAGCAAGCCTAAGCAAGCACCCAGTGGCTTTTCAGGTGTTGAAGTTCAGTCGGAAGATGCTCGGTAGATGCCCGGTGTTTGTTCTGAACGACAGAATCGCGTGTTTTACGTACTTGCGAATCTCTTCTGTGAAAGTAACACGCTGCCATGGCACTGGGTGCCGACCGCGTCGTGTCAAGATGCTCCTGCCGCTTGCAAGTTGGGCCCCAGTCCGCCAAGCCGCCAGTGCGGCGGCTCTGGAGATTCGAGCCGAAACCAGAAGGACCGTTCTCCTCGAGCCTTCGAAGTGTCGAGAGAACACTAGCCCGTACCTTGTGATCCGACTTGCTAAGCCCCGAAGTCCTAAACCCAAACTCCATGCGTAAACTTCTCAAGCCCGCAGTCCCTTTCTGTTCTCAGGGCGGCGAGGGACCATGGCTGCCAGGCAGCTCTTTTCGTTATGATGGAGCTGGGGCTAGGGTTTGCAAGATTCGGCATCAGAGCTCGCGTCGCCGGTTTACAAGCTTTCGGGTGAGAGGTCTGTAGGCCGCATGAATTTGGCGGCAGCATGTTATACCAAGCATTGGTTTAAATCGCAACAGTATTCGCAGGCTTTCGTCTCGACGCATGCTTTCCTGCAAGCAATGTGATCAGAACTGCTTCATTGCCAGGTCCTAAGCTGGTCTCAGACCGGAAGTTTCCAATGCCACGTAGAGTAATAAAGAGTCTTGGTGGACCAGTCTCCCTTCGGTAGTGGAAGCACAACGTGATTTTGTCTGCGTCTTGGGCTTCCCTCGCTCCGTCTTCCCCTCCACCGACTCCAGACTCGCCATTCGCTCTCTCTCTCTCTCTCTCCCTCCCTCTCCTTTCTTCTCCTCTCTTCCTCTCCGCTTCTCTTTCTTGACTGCTTCCGTCCCCGCGATATTCAACCTTTGTCGGGTTTTCTACTTTTGACCGTTGCTTAGACGAGCACGACGACGACTATGATGGTGATGATGATGCCGACCATGGTGATTTTGCGACCTAGTACCACCACGAACAATTCGACAACGACAGCCGGGCCCGCCCTGGCCCGTCCCGGGTTTCCTGCTTCAACTCTACTCTACTACACCCTTCGAGAGTTTCTCCTTGGCCAATGGCTCAACATACCTGTTCTGAGAGACTTACAATGTCTGTCACATTTGTTTGCACCGCATATCCAGATAACAAGTGCGCACATGTGGCTCAATTTGTTAATATGTGGTCGTGCTTAGTTGTTTGTTCTGTTCACTTGGTTAACAGCTGCGAGTGGTATATACATTATGTACGTGAGATATGACATGACATGTCTTGCTGCTTTTACATGCTGTGTGTATCTCGACAGCGTTCCTGTAGTTCTCGCGGTGTTCGTCAATGTCGTTTTCTCGACCTTACTGTTGTTTCTACCCAAATCGGATTCCCGGTATCCTCTCGTCTGTGCCACTTACTCTTCTCGGCTGCCTGTATACTTCGCCGGAAGTCTTGAAACTCATCCAAAGCCATGTGACAGCCCTGGTCTCAACCACAGCATTTTATGTCTATAGCTGCTAGGCATCAGCTTAAAGCCGAGTCCGCAGACAGCCTTCGTGCTTTCGCCAGACAGGATCAGCGGTCTTTTTGACCTCCGACCAACAGAGGGCGATGCGAGCAGGTCCGCTGTGCGTGAAGTCTGCAAGTGTCAGTGTAAGAGCGCTTTGGATTCGGTGTGGAGCCCAACAGTTCAACCTACAACAGGGCTGGGAGAAGCTGGGGAGCCCGGCACAAACGCCCCGGAATAGTTCAAAAGGCCATGGTCAGGGGATATGGGAGCCTTTAAAAGGCCTGGGTCCGATTTTCGTTACCTCTGCATCGTCAGAAACATCTGAGCAGCTGCCGGAAAGGGACGAGAAGCTTCACTTCCCACCAAAAGAGCATCTCTCCGAGCTGAAGCGGCATGCCGCATGCCCCAAAACCGTGCCGAGGAGCCGCCTCACCAGACAGAGGTCCAAGTCCACTGAGCTCTTCTGGCATACGCAGCACCTGCTCTTGGTTTCATGTGCTCGCACCGGTAAGCCCCTCCACTCCTGCACACTCTCGCATGGCCTGCTGGTTCTGTTGCTTCGAAGCACCAGCATACAACAGTGTTCAACACTGGCAGGCGGAAGAAGGCTTGTTTGCAGCGCCGGTGTGAGTCTCGTTCTCTGGTCCGGAGCTTTTCTACTTGCGCACAAGGTATGAGCTTCTGAAGCATTCCGGTGCCACGGTGGACCGAAAGACCTTCATGCACCTCGGCTCTAGTGCGAGTTACATTTACTCGCCCCGGGTCATCTCCTGCTGTACTCGTTGCAGAGTAGCAGAGTAGCAGTTCGCATACCTCCGATCGTTGCTTTTGCCGCCTCCAAGCCGCTTGAGGCGTAAGATGACTTAAGTCTTGAGTTGCTGCGCTGCCGCTTGTGGAAGCACATTTGTCTTGCGGTCTTGCCTTCAGCAGCAGTGCATGGTGCCACCAACGGTTGGAGTCTACGTTTTCGGGCACGACGGCTTTAAAGTGATGCACCTCATGCCAGGTTGTGGCTGCAAGAGCCCGCTTTCCTGCACGTCTTGGAGAGTGCAGACGTGGACGTGTCCAACAAATTCGACTTGTTCGACGTTCTCGATTCCGATTCTTGGCGTTTGGATCTGGCCTCCCAGGTGTACACGGCTTAGCATCCCCATCAGATCTAGTCGGCCGGCGACATCCTAGCATGCTCGGCCTTTTGAGAGACACCCAGCCGTCCACAAGACTTTTGAGAAACCGAATGGGTCAACAACACTAGCAGCGGTGGCTGGATCTTCAGCAGCAGCCAACAAGTGGCATTAACACCACAAAGGAAGAAAGATACGGGCCAGACGAGTAGAAATGTTTGCCAAAGCAAAACGCAAGTTGCATAATGGCGACCTTCGATAAGCAACTGCTAATGAAATCCGACAAGCATTGTGGCAGCAGTAGTTGTCGTCGTTGTCGTGCTGGTCGTCGTCGATGGTGTAGGAGTGTAGGAGCAGCAGTAGTAGCAGCAGTGGGAGTAGTAGTAGTAGTAGTAGTAGTAGTAGTAGTAGTAATAGTAGTAGTAGCAGCAGCAAAGCGTGCTAGGTGGGTAAGAAAAGCTACTCGTGCCAGTACAAGGTCTAGCAATAGTACTAGTACATTGTGCCGGGAATTAGAACCATTAATTGGTCCAGTCAGCTTGGGGTCATCTTGCTCGGCCATCTGGTCATCTTGGGGCGGGGGCAGCGAGACAGCCAGGTCATCTTGCAATCTTTCACTTGCCCGACTAGCTTACCGTTTAGACCAAGATGACCAATTTGAGTGGTCATCTTTCCCCCCCTTGGGGCAGTGGGGCAAGATGACCAAGATTGCTGGTCATCTCGCACTTACCAAATGCGGCGGCAGCTGTCCTCACTGTGACAGTGGCAGAAGTGGCAGGGTGCAGGCTCCCTATCTGTGACAACGACAGAAGTTGCGGCTCATGCTTGCAAACTCGACAAGGAAGACACTGCTAAACCAAAGGTGGTAGGATAGCACGAATTCGCTGCAAACACCGTGCCCAGGTGCCGCTAAAAACGGTTTTAGCACCCCGAAACCCTGAAGCCGAAAACCGATAGAGATTGAAGGCCAGAATGCCAGCTGTCTGTGGGAGGGGCTCGCCAAACTCATACTCCTACTAAGACGACGACTAGCACTGCCACTGCTCAGCCGTGCGTTGGGCACGAACCTACGGATCCACATTGGTGGCATGGACGTTAGCATGGCTGTTGTGGCTTGGACGTCGTCCTGCATTGCGCTGGGTGTCTTGTTCTCTAGCGAATGCAGTGGTAGCACGAAGTCCAACCGAAACTGCGGCAATGCAAAGCAGTCATCTGAAGCCAAGGGCTCGGAAGCAGAAGAACTACTGCTAGACATGGCTAGACTATGCACAAAAAGCTAAGATTGGTAATCGAGTGCCAACACGGCTGGTAAAGTAGTTCGCGGCATGGAAAAGTATTAGCCACAATACATCTGGAAAAGAGAAGGGTCAGAGGGTCAGAGTGAGAATCAAACTTCAGTCGTCGTGCCATCATAGTCATGGCCGCAATGTCAACAGTATTCTCCACAGCTTGCTGCCCGAGGACATGGGCGGCAGATTAGAACTGGACGAGGTGGTAACGGGACTGATGAAGCTGCGGGGCCCGGTTTCCAAGACAGCACCTCGGAAGAATGCAAATTGCTGTGCTTCTACATCCATTGCATTACTTCCCGGCTCATTTCTGGCAGAATGCACCGGCGACAGTTGAAGCTCTGCGAGAGGTTTCGAGAAGCCAGCTGTTAGAAAAGGCTTTTCGATAGCTTGTGCCGCTAGGGCATCTTCGAGAGTCTATTTGACGGTTAAAAGTGAAAAAAAGCGCTCTTGAACTTCTTGTTTGTGTGAGACTGGTATGTTGCAAACAATTAATCGGTGCCCTGTCGCCAGAATCATTCGCGAGGTTGCTTGTATGTCCGATGAGTTTTTGTTGCTTTTCAAAGCCAAGGACTTGATAGCAATCAGGTTGCAGGTGCGCCTTTTGATCCAGAAGGCACTAGAGGACGAGTGAGTGCACAGAGCTTTCCCAGCGCGACAGAGCACCTTTGCTTCAGGAAGAACGTCTCACAGCCACAGGGCAACTCACAACTTCTCGTCACGCTGAGAATATTGCCCAGGTGCATGCGCTTCGGCCAAATGACCTTGTAGGTCTGCGAAAAACCAGCCTCCTGGAGCGGCTGCAGGATGACGGTTTAAGTTGTTAGGCTGTCGAAAATGGTGACCTCAGCAGCAGCACAGCTTCGGGTTTTGGAAAGCATCTACGTGTTTCCACCGCAACTTGCTCAACAAACCTGCAGGCATAATTCAAGCTGTATTATTTTTGAGCTGCAGTTTATGCAGAGCAGGGCCAGGCAGGATCCAACTGCACAGCTCCCAAAATCTTCAAGAGGTTATGTCGGAAGCAAGTCAGCAGAGAGCACGACAGCTAGATTCTAATTGAGGCCTTTGTCCAAGACCTTGCCCGTTTTGTCGTGATCTGCCCGGCAACTTCTCCTGGTGGAAATGCACTGCGAGAACTGAAAAAAGATGCAAACCTCAGCTCTAGCAGGAAGCTGCAGAATTGACTGTGTCTGCCAGTCCTCGAGAAGCAGGTCGCTCACGCTGCGTGGGAAAGCCCACGAAAGCATTGAAGCATCTGCATTTAGCTCGCCAGTGTGTGGCTGCAGGAGTACTTGCATGTCAGGCTTGCGACGTGCTTCGCAGAAAGGATATCTGCCATGAATAAGAGCAGCAACCTCCTTGCTCCCGAACGGGAGGCCGAGAGTAGGCTCTTGCTTTAAGCAGGACACGCGAAAAAGCTACCACGAGCATACGCCGAAGAAAAGAAAATTGCACCATGTTGGCGATACGTGATCCAGCTCCGTGGGCCTCAAAGCTTCAAGCTCTGCCTTGGCATTTGTCTGCTCACAGCTCGAGAAGAGTTGCGTGATGTACCGACACCCCAACATGAAAGAAAGTAGAATCTCAAGCTTTACCTAGGAATCTAAGAATACTACTGGTTTTGTGCTGCCGAAGTGTTGCTCACAACCTTGGACCGCCAGAGCTTCCAAAAGCAAGCTCACGCGGTGGATGTGGGGAAGATTCCCGTTGGTTACAGCGGTATTAGCTACAGCGCTGAGTGTGACTTGGCCAACACATGTAGAGCATGTTGTGCGCAGAGTGTAAAGCGATTCAGACAACGAAGCTAGGTAGTCCCAGCTGCGAAACCAGCACGTCCGAAGCAAGCATCCATCCATCCATCCATCCGTCCGTCTATCCATCCATGCATGGATGCAGCCAGCCGACCAGCCAGCAAGAAATGAATGCACGCACGCACACAGACAGAGACAGACAGACACACAGATAGACACACAAACATACAGACATGCACGCAAAGATACATGCATAAACAGGCACATCTGGCCACTACTTACTTAATTGCTTGCGACATGCAACGTCTCGTGTCGGGAGATGTGATTACCGTGGATGCGCCGACGCTTTCTACGAATCCGTGCTAACTTTAGTTCCTGCCCGGGACCGGGCCACAGATGCTCTTGACCATGAAGGTCCGGTCCCAGAGACGGAAAAAGCGACCGAAGAGCCGGCAGCAACACCTTCCATCATGGCGTGCTGCCGGTAAGGGTTGCCATGTTCCTGCGGATCTCTGACATAGTCCTCCGAACTAGAAGGAATCTCAGTAAATCTTGTTACGATCCCATGAAGCTTCTGCTGCCCCGCTGGCTTACTGCAACTAGAGGGGGATCTAGAAATGACGGGATGTATGACATGCCTTCTTGTCTTGAGGTGGGAGGGGGCCTCGGTTTCATCGCGAATCGGCACCCTAGGCCCTAATCTTGCCAGCTCAGGCCAAGCCGCGATGTCGAGACTTCGCTGGTACAGGAGTCTGGCATGACTGTATAGTGCGGTGCCTTCGGCTGCAACAGCATTGGACTGCTAAGCAGGTGTACGGCCATCCGACTCAACCAAACTGAAGCATCAAGCGGGAGCCTGTAGAAATGCACCTACTTGCAACCTTTCATGAACGAACAGGATAATATGTTGGTCTGCCACTGAAGTGGCATAATCGACGACCCTTGCAATGCAAGAGCATGCTGCCCTCGGAGTTTGTCCCGGGCCCCCAGCCCCAAAGCTTGACATCCAAAGCTTGAGCTCCGAGCAGTTGAGCAGAAATCCGAATGCTTGCAGAGCCGCAGAGCTGTAGAAAATATCGCCGAGGATCGGTGGCTTGGCTATCCAGGGAGCAGCAGTGTTCGAGAGTTCCTTCGGCCCGACTTTCCAGGAGAAGCACCAACAAGCTTAAATAGTCAATAGTCCTTTCCTATCGTCTGCCGAATCTCAGAAGCACGATGGCAGGACTTCTTGACACGGCGCCTCAATGAATCTCATGGACTGGAGTTCGAGTCCGTTCCGTTGGACTTTAACCAGATGCTAGTTTGCAACGGCTGGCTTGTTTCTGCTGTGGAGAGGGCCGATGCTATTGCTGTTCACTTCCCTGGCTGCAATCTTGCTACAAGGAACTTCGAGTTCGTCAGCAGCGGTGGAGTCGATTTCATTTACAGCGCCTTTCGAGCAGTGTGGGAGAGATCAGCCATGATGGCTCACATCTGCAATTTCCCAAACCTTCCCATGCCTTAGGTAACCCAGCAGCATACACCTGCATGGCCGTGGAGTTCAACTTGCAGACGGTCGCGTCGCTTATCAACTACCGCAAGGGCAATGCTCTTGGAAAATTTGCAGGTACCTGGGCGGCCTGTGCTCGAAGATCGCCGAATGCATTTCCCGAGGATTTAGGGTTTAGGGTTCCCACATTCCGAAGACCATTTCTATGTCCCTCAGAGCTACAAGACCTCGATGAGGGCTGCTTTCCTGCTCAGCTACTGAGTCCCATCATGCTGAGGTGTGATTATTACCAGGCCTGGCGGGAAGGGATGCGGGGGTCAGTCCAGCACGCAAGAGATGCAGGATTCATGTACAAGGCCTGACGTGCTCGTTCAGAATCCGGCTGACCAGCCGAGCGGGGGGCAGGGGCAGTGCCAGTGTATTGAGTCTTATTAGTATTTTACGTCACGGTAGCACAAGCGAGCGTGTTGTTCTATCGGCATTGTACAAGTATCATGAGCGAGCACTCGTCCTCGTGCCGATTTGCATCCATTGTGGTGACGAGGGGGTCCCTCGCCGCTTTTCACATGCAGAGGTCTGAGTCCACCGCACCCCATCTTGAGAGTGCTAGCTGGATTGAAAAACCCCGTCCTGAGATTCAGTTGCGGGGCTGTTGCCAGTATGCCGCTAGTCACTGAGAGTCCGACTGCATGCTGCTCCTGTCAGTGATTTGGTGTGTCGAATGACGCATCAACCGAACATCGGTTAAGCGGTAAAGGTGAGAAGGTGTGGGAATATCTCGGATGGGTGAGCCGTCCGTCAACGGAACACCGCGTGGGTCGTGCACACAGCAGCCCCGCAGCCACAGAGAAAGCATGTTCAATGACCATGGAGCGTGCGGACCTTGCGCGTCAACATGCGCAGGTCAGTCTCCAGGATTTAGGGTGGTGGGCCAATAAATAACGGAGTGATGAGATCCACCTATGTAGAGTAAAAGGAGGGGTCATTGGCTAAAGGCTAGCTTCGATCGGAAGAAATAGGCGTTGTCAGAGTCGTACATCTGCCGCACTATGTTCTTCTGTAAATTTCCCACGTTTGCATGTGCTGGTTTGTTGGCTAATTGCCGCTCCTTGTTCCGATGATGTAAAACATGAATACTAAGATATATACATATACATATATATATATATATATACACATATGTTTATGGGCTCTTCTAGACCCTCTGGATGAACGTCAGTGACAGAGAGAGAGAAAGAGAGAGAGAGAGAGAGAGAGAGAAAGAGAGAGAGAGAAAGAGAGAGAGAGAGAGAGCCAAATATGGGGGGAAACCCGCTCCATCACGTTCAGCTCCACACTGTTGAAATGGTCCTCATGGCCAGAGGGGGGGACAAATCGGGGGGGCTCCACATTGCAATGGGCGCGGGCAGGCAGGGTGTGGAGCTCATTGCCACCATCCGCAGAGGCACTCAGATGGCCCGGGATTGGGGGATTGGCACTTGGCTCATCAATTTGGACAGGCGGAAAGCATTTGACAGCGTTTGGCAGCATAGCATGGGGGAGTTGGTGGCAGCGAAGGTTAGGGGGGTGGCCTCAACGCGATGTCCCGTCCCTCCGACCCACGAAGCACAGCCATGGGAAGCACTGTTTTGGCTAAGTATCCTCGAGACGAGGGCACTCAACGTGGCAGTCTGCGCAGACACGCTATCACCACGGTACCTCGAACGAACGGTATCCGTCAGGGATCTCCTGACTCGCCCGACCTCTTCGGGGCGATAGTAGCCCGTGACTTGCAGACAGCCATAGACGCCGCGGCAGAGCCACAAACGGACGAAAAGGGGGCGGGGACCACCACCACCTAAGACCAGCGGATCCTACCTCGATGATACGTACCTAAACTTACCAACCTCGAGGAGGAGCTCCGGGAAGACGGTCTCCACCATCCACCCCACCAAAACAGCCATCTTTTTCAGCAAGCGGACCGGGGGAGACACCCTCAACATTGGCGGGACTACGGTGGACTGCAGCCCACACAAAACAGTTATCACAACACTAGGGTCCCCTGTCACGCTTTTTTTGCCAGAGATGGGACGACGAAGCCGCAACGCCTTCCACCGCCACAGAAACCATACTCAAAGCACACGCTAGCATGCGCAGCAGAGCCATTGCGCACACCACTTTGGTCCGGAATGCTGGACTCTACGCATGCGAAACATGACCTGTCCACCACAGGATAAACTCGCTACAAGCACAACACTGCCGTGACATGCTCCGCCTCCACAGGCACACCACAGAACCATGGGCAGCATGGAACATGACGACACTGAGACTCGCGCGCTTGCACATGCATAGGGAGAGAATTGTGCGCTGGTCGGCGTACATACTGAAGTTTGTGGGCGCACATGGCAAGAGGAGAGGAAGAAGTCAATGCGATGGTGGCATGGAAAAACATGGCTTTCTGGCGAGCCGAACAACAGAAGCCCCGTAAGTAGCGAGTCACCCACAGCGGCCACTTCAATCCGCAGGGGGACGTTGAGAGAGGACTCGAGGCAGTTGCCAGCACACATTGGATGACAGTCGCACAAGACCGACACCAATGGCACCAACTTAAAGACATTTTCACACACAAATTTGACGTGCCATGGGCTACAGTACAGGCAAACAAACCAGCATTGCAGACAACCTCACACCCAACAGCCGCCGTCGCATACCTGAAAGGGGGGAACTAGCCGCATGATGATGGTGGCGTTGTCGGCTAGAGTGCGTGCGACGAGGTGAGCAGCAAGAGAGGAGCGAGTCGAGCCGCCCTTTTTTCCACATTTTCCTGGGGAAAACACCAAATTAGAGGGGAAACGCCCCAAAAGGCAATCTACATGGGATGAAAAGACGCGTCTCCGGCTGCCCTACTGCCCTTAATAGTTGTGCCTTCTTGTTTGCTGTTGCCTCTATTTCCGTCATTCAACGAAGCAGCCCCAAGTGCCATTTCTTTCGTACTGGCCTGCATGCACTTCTAAACACTCGGTCCACACCTCTGGAGAGCTCCGACAGGGGTGAAGCCCCCCATCTATACTACCCTGTGTGGTACTCTGGTTCAGACGGGCCGCTGGAGCCTCCAGAATCCTTGAAGCTTGCCCCCTATCTGGGGCCTTGTACCACACAGCACAGATGCTCTTAATTCATGGGCCGGTACATGTCTTGCAGCTTACCCACGACCCCAGACACACTGATAGCCTTTGGTTAGTTGGACCGCTGAAAGGGTGCGGGCCATTTGTTTCATGACCGTTTGTTGTTCTTGTTGTTCGATCGCAGTCTACTGCTAACGCGCCTTCGTGTGCACTGTTCCACGCAAGAGGTTCTGCAGAACCAATCAGCAAGAGCATCAGCTCTTCATGTCTGCTTCATTGATATACTTGGGTCCCGTGTCGGAGTGTTGCATTTTTCTCTTTGGTGTCTAAACTTGCCTTTTAAGTGTGTGCTTGCAACATGTTGGCACCCACAACAATCGGGGAGCGCACACGAGGGCGGTGAGGGGGAAAATCCCTCTTACCACAACCCTGGCGAAAGAAAGAAAAGAGCGAGAGAGAGAGAGAGAGAGAGAGAGATATATATATATATATGCTCACCCCCCCCCGTTGACAGACCGCGGCGCGCATACAGTGTGTTCCTGGCAAGTGAGCCTGCTGATTAAAACCTGTTCGTGATTGCCGCCGTTGGCTTTTAACATTGGTTTTAGTACTTTCCTTTGGTATTGAGACTGGCGTTAATTTTTATAGTAGCA